GAGGTCAGACGAGCATTAAAGATGGGGAACATACAGCTGCAGATTTCAAACATCTAAAAATAAAAACTCTCAAACATCTTTGTAATATCTGATTGCAGCTTTATGACCTACAGTTTGAGTCCATCTTCAGTATTTTAATATGGTTTTCTCAAACCAAGTGAAACTTTATTATATTACTGTATGTTCTGCCGTATCAGAATTAGTGATTTTGCTGTAGTAGAGTTTACATTATTTGTAAAATATTATATGTGAAAAAAAAAAAAAAAAAAAAAAAAAAAAAAAAAAAAAATATATATATATATATATATATATATATATATATATATATAATATATATATATATATATATATATATATATATATATATATATATATATTAGGGGTGCAACGATACTCGTATCGATATTGAACCGTTCGATACAGTGCTTTTGGTTCGGTACGAATATATATCGAACAATACAATTTTTTTCAATTTTTTTTTTTTTTTTTTTTTTTTTGTGTGTCCCGTTTGGATCTATAGCCATCAGAATTGTTGTCTTGAGGCCAAGAAAGATGCCAAGAGGATTTATTTTAAGTGGATCATCATATTGGTCCATTTGATTGACCTTTATTATAATTATGAATTTATTTTATTTTCAGTTGCAAACGGGACAGACATGACTGTGGGATAGGACAGGGGGAAAGAATGAAAGAAAGAGAGGGAGAGAAAGAAAGAAAACCAAAGGGGAGAAAAAAAAAGAACAATACAAAATTTGTAATTTATTTTATCAACTTTCTGCATTTGACTACTCCGCCTAGGCTCGAGAGTGCAGCCTAGGCGGAGTAGTCGAACGCAGATTCACTGAGCACTCAACACAGACAGCATCGTCAGAAGGAAGAGCGCAGGGCAAGCTAGCGAGACAGAAGTGGACCTCCCCCACCCTCATTCAGATCTGGCGTTTGGAACTATTTTGGTTTTCATGTGACGTATGACCCTGAAGGTAAGCGCGTCATGGACAAAAGTAAAACAGTATGTTGGATGTGCCATGCAATGCTCAATTACATGGGTGGGAGCTAGTGCGTTAGCGCAGTTAGCTTGTTAACGTGTTGACACTGTCCAGCCCCACGCATGGGGCGATCGGCTGTAACTCATTAACGGAGATTTGCCACGTTATGGCGTTAATGTCATTTTAACGAGATTAACGCTGACAGCACTAGTGGGAACACAACGAATATGACTGCACATTTACGCCAACATCATCCTAGTGCAAAGACAAGTGGAAGCAGACAAAAACAACAAGCACGCATGCTACAAACTTTACTCGAGTCATTTAGACAGCCGTTAGCACATGATTCTCCTCATGGGGACCTGATATGTTTAATATGCTGCTGAGAATATAGCCCAGAAGAAGCGTATAGTATAGCTTTTATTTTGGAAAGAGCCATTTCTCTGTAATAAACTCTCTTTTCCAAAGATGAGTGATTTCTCGATTAGATTTGTTTTTTTATTACTTTGTTGTTTCAGCAACATTAAATTTAAAAACTGTACTTCTGAGTTAAAATATATATTTATAATTTTAATAAATGACAAATTAAAAAGGCATGAACATTTTTTTTGTATCAAAAAAATATCGAACCGTGACACCAAAGTATCGAACAGAACAGAACCGTGAATTTTGTATATCGTTGCACCCCTAATATTTATACAACACAACATGTGACAGTAAGAGTTTGGAAAAATGAAAAATCACTGTGGATTATAGAAGGTGATAATATGACAGCCACAGGACTGCTGACCTTGCTTTCCTCGTCGGTTTTGTCTTTTCATCTGTAAAATGTGGGTAAAGTTGCATGTTTGGGAACACCTCATTGGTTTTGATGGGATTGTTGGTTTAGTCAGTTCCCTCCTCACACCAATGACTTAGGCTGTGTGAATATGTAAAAAATGTTATCTGTCTGGACAATAATGTTCAGCTGGATGGACTAGAGGGACTGTTGTCTATTTTTGTTGAAAACTCATACTGTCCATGTTCCTGATTTGTAACTGGTTTTGAATATGGCTTCTGAATCCGTCCACTTCTTACAGACTGCTGAACACTTTGTTTTTGTGGTAGTTTAGGAACACTGATTGGAATCACAGATCACTTTTAGTCCAGATGATTTGGTTGATTTTGGTTTCACTTTATATTAAATAATCCCTAATCTGCATTACGGTTGTTGTTCTGTTTCGTTTTTGTTTCATGTTTTTACATTTTATATACTTTTGGGTCAAGTAGTAGGCTTACACTGATTGTCGGTGTAGAATATTAAATCATGCTGCGTGTTATAGGGAATTAATTTGGTATTTTGCCTTTTTTGGTGTTGGGTAAAATCAGCAATCTTTTTGTTTGTTTGTTTGTTTGTTTGCTTCATTTTTATTTGATTACCTGATTGGTCTTTGCTTTGGTTGTTGTTGTTGGGTAGATTTGGGAGGGGGTGGGGGCAAATTGTTGCAGGAGTTGTACTCATAGGCACTTTAGTTCAGGCACATAAGCCTGTATCCCACTAGTACCAACTCGACTCGACATAACTCGACTGTGCTTGGTTTTGGCCATTTATAGCTACAACTGAGTACCCATCAAATAACACAACGTCATAATTTCTCTTAAACCAAGTCGAGCCGAGTTGATTAGCTAACAGTGGAAACTAGGTGTTAGGCACTTCGCTTGGCTTCCATCAGTTTCAGATCCTACGACCTGAATATTTTAATTATTGAATAATTCTGTTATTTAATTCTGTTATTTCTGAACTCAGAGCAGAACTCAAATATGAGACTCATGTGGAGAATTGAGAAATGCAAAGACAAAGTTACAGCAGGCACTTTGTCCCTTGGAGCTCTGTAGCTGCTGACAGAGCTCCTCTTAAACTAGCTGGGACCAACAACACATGGTGGGTTTCACTCTGAGTTCTTTTATATTTGGTGTAGAAATTCAGACTCATTCCTGGTGTCTGTTACACTGAACCAAGGAGTGAAGGTGTTGGATTTGGTGGCCTCAAGATCAAATAACTGATCTTTTGATCGGACTTCATTGAGCTATAACCTCCAACATTCAGTGATGGAGTGGTTTGACCAAATTCCCTTTTGAGTGAGTGAAATGCTAAGTTAATGATAGCTTGCTTGGTTATCAAGCTGCAATCATACCCTGTGTAGGTGCAATTGTGATTTCTTAGTTTGTTCATCCACAATTCTCATTGCTACTCTTCTCATATGTAGCAAGAGTAAAAACATTTCCACCAGAGACACCAGTCGATCTTATATTGTAGCTCCTGCAGCCTCTGTGGTCCACAGACATTTTTAGCCTCTGAGATGACACGTAACAGAAACAGAAGCACAAGATACCTGCTTATGGTTAGCCATCTAAAAAGTATGATATAAAGTTTGATATACTCTATATTCAGTTATAGTTCATTTGTCTTTTTGTAGCAGCAAATCACATAAAGAGTCATTTCAAAAGTCAAATGATAATTCAAAGAGTCATGTTAGCTCAGCAGGATGTGGTTGTGAAACACGAGTGCCATGAAGTGTCTCATTTCACATGTCTCTGTTAGTTCCTCTTTCCAAGTTTTTTTTTAACTAGTTGCAAAAAATCCCCCTTCTTAAAAAAGGGGGAAGAACAGCTAAGTGACAGCTATTAAATTGGGACTATTTTTTTAACTTTACAAAAACAAAACATAATTAACCCACCGTCAGCCACTCAACCTAAAAATATTTGCTTGTCAGATGTTTTTCACTAATATATATATATATATATATATATATATATATACTGTTTTCTGTTTTTACATCATATTTTCTTTTGGTCTAATAAATGTTGAATGTCTACACTTCCAATGAAGAATGAAAATGTTGTCTTGACAACCTGAAACTGTTTTCGGGTCTTGATTTGTCTCACATGGATGTTCTATGTCTCAGTCTAACAGCTATATGTTTTCATTGTGTTGCTCATATATTGTGTGTTTTTTCATTCTTGTGCTTGAGAGACACCATTGACTGGAACCAAATTCCTCATATGTGTTTACATATTACTTGGCCAATAAATGTGATTCTGATTCTGATATGGTTTTCTCACACCAAGTTAAACTGTATTACACATGTATATTACTGTATTTCTGCTGTATTAGATTCTGTAATTTTGCTGTAGTCGAGTTCATCTTCTTTGTAAAATATTATTTATATTTCTGTCATGCAGTGGCGGTATGTATGTTGGTATTGATTTTCATACTAAAAAATACTAGCTACCAGGTACCACCACCTGATGGAAAACCCTGAAAACCGGGTTGAACCAACCCGTGTAGGTACTAGATACTCCAGTAAAGACTGGACAATGTAATGAAAGAGCCACACTATACTGCAAAGCTAATGATGCAAGATTTTAAAAAGTCTCCAACCTCCTCGTTCTAATGTTAGGAAATAATATGCTTCGTACTAGGAAGCTCAGACAAACTATCCAGCAAGACGTTTTTTGAAATTTTTGAGATTTTGCCAAATGATTTGTAGATAAATCCCTGGTTATTACAGAAAGGTTCAGAATTCATAATATGAATTTGTCAAAGAAAAGGAAGGAAATGAAGTTTATAAAGCCCTATCACCAAATGGAAGTGAAAGAGTAAAAAGTTCCTAACTATCTGCACACATAATGGATTGTACCAATGCAATCATCTTGTGTTTGGCCTTGCCTGGGCACCAGCCAAGAGTTTTTTCTTTGTTTTCTCTCATATCTCTCCTCCCTTCTGTTTTTCTTTCCCTCCCTTCCCTATCCCCTAGTCATGTCTGTCCCACCTGAAATAACTTAAATGGACCAATACAGCAATACTGTGATGATCCACTTGGTAAAGTGAATCTGTTTGGCATGTTTCTTGGCCTTCAGACAATTATTCTGATGGCTAAAGACCCAAATGGGACAGCCAATAAATAAATAAATGGAACGCCATAACCAAGTGCTTGGCATAGTGTACATGTAACCCGTTCATGCGTTACGCCTGTTGTTCTTGCGTTGTGTTCTGGCGTGAAAGTAAGAGGCAGGAGACAGTACTGGGTCTTTGGCTCTTTACTGCACATCTGCAACACAGAAATATGTGTCTGATCTGTGTGTGTCACACGACTGCCAGTACACCTCTCCTCCGGCCATGCTGAAAGGAGCTGTGTCTGCAGCTTCATTAACACCACAATAATATAATGAATCAAATACAACAAATTGTTTTAAAACATTAACTTAAGCTCTCAAAAACAAAAAGCACAAAATAAATAATATGTCACTGAAAAAACATTAAAAACAACTTATAAGAACAATAAACAAAATAATTCAAAAACAAATAAACAGTCAGATAAAAACAATTCAATAACCAGGACCCAATATTCTGGTACTTATAGTTCAAACATTATACTTCAGTACAATTATATTAATAACCGCCATCTAACAGGCAATACAACTTATAAAAACAATGAATGAAAGACTGCATCTCCAAAACATAAGAACATCTCCATACCTGCAACACAGAAATATGTGTCTGATCTGTGTGTGTCACGCGACTGCCAGTACACCTCTCCTGACGAAGGAAAAAAGAGTGCATGCTGTTAAAGAAAAAAGGAGTGCCGCGAGTACGCTCTCAAGCCACTAGCGATCAGGCTAACTTAGCATGCTAGCATTTTAGCTGCGTTCTCGGCTAAAACTCATTATAAGCATATATTAGTGAACTCCGCCCTCCACAAAACTTATCCCGAATGAGTCTCTTAATGACAAACAAAAACGCGGCGGTTCGGCTGTATTCACATTGCAGCTTGGGTAGGGCTGGGCGATATGACCCAAAATTCATATCTCGATATTTTTTAGCTGGATGGCGATATAAGATATATATCTCGATTTTTTTTTTTAAAGCCATAAGGTAAGAACAAAAAGAGAGTTCTTAGTCACACTGTGTCCCAGATGTCACACGGGCACTTTTATTTACATACAGCGTAGATGTACATGAAGAAATTACTCAAAAATAAATTATCAGCATTTATTAAATAATCATGGTCCATAAATAAAAGAAAACAATGTTGTTTTTGTGCATAACAAAAAGCTCACAATTGTGCAGTCAAAATGTAAACTAATAGACGCTGAGCATAATAACAAAGAGACAGATTTCTCAGCTGCACCACGTCTCTGAACAGGTGCCATTTGTGGTCCTTATACACACACGGAGTATCACTCCGCGAGGCTCCTCCTCGGTAGCCGTAATCCTCCGACAATCCATTAAGCGGTGCAGTTCCGTAGCTTAGCAAAGTCATATTAAAACATTTTTTGACAGATTGCTGAGCGCTGTGTTCCACATAAAATCGGTTCGCGGTCAGTAAGCACAACCAGAATTCATACATAAGGCGCACTGTCGATTTTTGAGAAAATGAAAGGATTTTAGGCCGTGCAGCCCCTCCGGGCTGCATGTCGTTAGCGCGGTTAGCTCGCTAACACATTGACGCCGTCCAGCCCCACGCACGGTAACTCGCTAACGGAGATTTTCCGCTTTCATCTTGTCATTGCCTGCAGGTGAAGCTATGGGGGAGGGGGAGTTGTGTTCAGTGAAGGAGAGGCGAGGCCGAGTAACGTTGCGTAGAGACAAAAGTGGACGAAAGAGAGGCAAACCTGCGGCTCCACAAGTATAATTATAGCGTAACATAGACTATATCGATATAAACGATATTGTCACATCTTATATCTCGTATGAAAATATATCGATATTTTTAAAAAACTCGATATATCGCCCAGCTCTAAGCTTGGGATCCAAACAAACTTTAATTAGCTGAGAGCAACGTGGCAGTGACTTACCTCCGGCCATGCTGAAAGGAGCTGTGACCGGGGCACACATGCACGCGCCTACGTCACCACGCAGCGCACACACACACATGAACGCACACAGACTCAGATCACACAGGTAGGAAGGTGAGATGCAAAAATGACATATTTAATCCAAAAAAAGAAAGTGTTTTGGGTGAAATTCACAAGTATTTAACACATATGTTACATACAGGAACATCTGTATTGTAGACAAAAAGAAGAAGGCAATAGTGATCGATGTAGTGGTTCCGAATGACAGAAACATCAGGAAGAAGGAATACGAGAAGCTCGAGAAATACCTTAGAGAAGAGCTTGAGAAGATGTGGAGGGTGAAGGTAACAGTGGTCCCAGTGATAATCGGAGCACTAGGTTCAATTCAGTGACTCCCAAGCTAGGCGAGTGGCTCCAGCAGCCCCAGGAACAACATCGGAGATCTCTGTCAAGAAGAGCGCAGTCCTGGGAACAGCTAAAATACTGCGCAGGACCTTCAAGCTCCCAGGACCCAAGCTTGAAGGATTGACCGTCTGCAAGGGCGAGTGGGGAATTTTATTTAATTTATACATATATAATATGCATCATTAACCCATTTATACAAACACTTTTTCTACGATTAAGTGCTTTCTGTCTAATATTCACAAACATTCATACTCCAATGGATGCATCAGAGAGCAACTTGGGGTTAATATCCTAAATATCCCAAAGGTTATTTAGGATGTAGACTGGGGTTGAACCACCAACTTCTAATCAGTAAGTGACCTGCACTACCTCTTGAGCTACAGCCACCCAAAGTATCAATCTGCGCCCTTGTTTCAATTTGGACAGTACCCAAAGACAGAGGTGTTATCTCCTGCTCGCTCACAGTCCTACAAAATGCTAACTGCACATCTTTGGAAGTAAATGCCGTACATGTCTGAGGGATGCTGGAATGGAGAAAGCATCACTATATATGTCCACTGCTGCAACTCTCTGTGTTTGGTGTGACAGTGGGTGCAGTGTGCTTTTTGCATTGTTTTCAAAACTCCGGTTCTTTGTATGTTACCATTTTGCTAAAGATAGCTTGAGTTGTTTAAAGACAGGCTGATTTTAAGATAATTTGTAGGGAAGCTGGTGGTGCTGAAGCACTGCTTGGTGGATAATGCAGGGCATATTCGAGCACCAAACCAAATAATATCTATTCATCTATATTGATGTTTGTCTGGCATTTTCCAGCCATCCTTTAATCTAACTGTCATAGGGTGAGAGATGCACCCTGGACAGCTTACTAGACTACCTCAGAGCTCAGACAGACACAAACCTACAGCTAATTAAGAATCATTATTTAGTCCTGTTTTTGTTTTGTACTCCTGTTTCCTGTTGATTTGTAGAATAGGAAAAAAAGAAAAGAACAAAAGAAAAGAAAAGCTAAATTTCATGTCACTCTTTGACAACAGCAGAACTCCCAACATGTGTCTGGGCCTGCTAAACTGCAACAGAAACAAAGGACCAAGCCTGATTTAATTTGTGCTGTTTTATCTCAATTACCACCATCAGATTAAGGAAGACAAGAGGTTCATCTTTATGAAGACTGTACAAAAATTGGGGGGAAAGATTTGTATAGGATTTAAATTCTCCAAATGTGATAAAAGAAAGTTTCACGTTAGGTAGTATTAGTGTCAGTCCACTCAGCACTCACATCATCACTGGTAACAAACAACACCACATCCACGTGCATGTTAGGAGGGCAATGTTTGCCTCATTGCTGTTTCACAGACCACATGAAAGAACTATATGATGTACTGAAAGAGTACAGTTACTTGGTAGTGAAGTGCAGCTCTTACTGATGATGCCGTTGATTCAAAAATGTGCAACCCTAAAACTTTAACACGCCTTCATTTGATTTATCCATTTTTTTCCACACAAAAACAGGTGAACTCCACAGAATGGACATGGCTGCTATGTGGAGTGACTCACTCTCAAATCATCTGGAAAGTCCCTTGTTTTCACTTTTCTTTATAAAGTTAATCTTCCCTCTAAGATCAGCTTGTAGTAGTAGCACTGATCCTTGGTAAGTCTTTCAGCATTTCCTCTTTTCTTTTAATCAGTTCTGCCTTCTAACCAGTTCATGTAATACAGAGTTGTGTAAATTGTCTGATAGTCTGCTCTAAGTATTGTGTGTATCTGTCACAGTGGAAACTCTTTTATATTGGTTTTATTCTGATTTGTTGTGTTTATTTATAAGTGTAGTTTTATTTGCATGATTTTATTCTGTTTGTATAGCATGTTTATAGTGTGTTATTTTACATTGTTTTGATCCACTGTGGGTTAGCTGGGCATGGGACAAATTAGCTGATAGGGATCACCTGCTGAGGCATGGTGTGTCCAGAGGTGGCCTATCAGCTGTCTAAAGACCTATTAAAAGGAAGTGTTGTGGAAAATTTATCAGTAACCTGCAACACATGATTTGAAGTGGGTTTAACATCCTAAACGTTTAAAAAAAACAAAAAAAACAAAAACTTAACGAACTGTAAAATTTAAAAAAAAGGGGAATATATTTTTTAATTTAGACGCATGTCCACGCAATGTGGAGAGAGCATCCCAGTGAAACACCAGGACCATCTCTGAATTGTGGCCGCCGCCTTACATCTTATATACAGACACACAGACAAAGAACATTCCTCAAACTCACATGTTGGCCCCTCTCACTGGGGGGGGGGGGGATACCTCCTTATTATGACCTTGTTTTCTGCTTGGCCGTCACCTAAAGATTTACATCCTTGATAAGGTGGAAGGAGTCCCACTATTTGTTTAACGTCTCCCATTACAATGGCCTCACTGTGTTAACTTTCCACATGTATGCAAACTAGTGACAGGAGTGCTCTTACTATAGTAAAGGGACAAAGTGATATTACTATAGCTAATGTGATATAATTAAATATGTGATTAACACATGAGAAAAGAAATATGCCACCACATAAGCTAGCTGAGCATCGGAGGAGTAGAGGTCCCAGATATGAGGAGGAATACATGAAGGCCAGGTGGAAAAAGAGGGACCCGCTGCCTGGTCGTGGGGGTGCGTCGCTTTATCTGGAGACTGCTGAGCTAGACGTGGCGACCCCGACAGCAAGAACGGCGACAGTAGGAGACAATGCGTGTGATTAGCAGCAGGCAAAGGTATACCTCTACCTGCATTTTTAAGAAGTGTCTCCACTGTTGTTGACCCGGTGCAGCCATGTTGGGAGAGGTTCGCCATGGTTCCCGCTTCCGGGACGATTGTTCTGGCCCCTTTTTGTTTATTTACAGGGCGCTGATGCGAGGAGAGCCGTGGTGGCATTGCGTGATGGACTCCAGTGCAGAATGCGAGCTGGGCTGGGCGCAGTGAAGGGACGAGAGGGGAACCGGACGCTCCTCCTCGTCTGTCTGGGACTAGGCTGGCGAAGACTCCGCTCTGGAGAAGGACTTTCTGCCCTGCTTGTGCACCCATTATGAACATTCATCCGGGGTAGTGGGACAATTACATCAAGGGATTTTGCATATAGAAAGTTGTGTTTTTATTAGTTTTAGAACTGGGTTTGTTTATTCTGGGGAGATTTTAGTATATTTGATATATTGATAACATTTTATTGTGTGCGTTAAGAGTTTTTTTTTTTTTTTTTTTTTTTGCAATCCCTGCCTGGGAATAAACTGTTTCTAATCAGACCTGCATCATCATTGTACACTATTGTGTTAGGTGTCATAAAGTATGACATAAATCTAATATTGATTCTTTGACTTAGAGTGAACGCTGTAGGTGTTTAGGATTTAAAAGTGCAACTTTCCTGTTTGGTGGCTTTTGGGAGGTTGTAGAGCAGGTTGAGATAGAATATGTCAGGGTCCTGGGTCTCCTGACCCAGCGTTTTTAGTTCTTTGTGATTTTTGTATTATTGTACTTGTGTGTGATTTATTCTATGGCTTCTAGTTTTGATCCCTTGCCCTTCATGTTTCTCTGTGTCCCCTCTGTTCTGTGTAAGTCTGTGTCTGCATGTTTGAGTTCCCCTCTGTGTCTTTTGGTTCATCGAGTTCTCTGCCTTACTGGTGATGTCTCTGTGTTTCTTAGTTGCTGTCTCCACCGTGTCAAGTTTGCGTCTCTGTGTCATACTTCCTGTTTTACTTTGAAGGTCCGTGTCTTATGTGAATGTTCAGTTTACGCTTCCTTGTCTCGTCAGTTCTGATTTCCTCCAGCTGTGCTCTCCTTCTGTGTCTCATTCCCCTCGTTACTCCCCAGTGTATTTAAACCCTGTGTTTCTCTGAGTCAGTGTCGTGTCGTCCCTCATGCTCTGTGTTTCTACCTGTAGCTCCCTGTAGCTCCCTGTGTGTTTTGTTAAGAGTCTTTCCAGTTTAGATTTTGTAGAGTTTTTGTGTTTAGCAATAAAAGCTGCCATTTTGAGTTCAGTCCTGTCTCCAGTGAGTTTGCGTTTGGGTCCAATTCCTGCCGGCACACAGCCGTACTATTATAGAATAACAGTTAGAGAATGTTGTCAACCAACCGAAAGGTTGATGGGTTGATACCTGGATTCCAGCAGTTTGCATGTTTACATATATGTGACTAGGTGAATGAGGCTTTGAGTAGAAAAGCACAACATAAGTAGCAGCTCATGTTTATTTATATAACACTTTTAAAATAACTGTTGACCAAGGTGCTGTATATTTATTAAAAAAAAGGTCAGATGAGTCACAGAAAAGTGGATCAGACACCTGCTGGGGAGGATCAGAAAGATAAATACAACATCATTGTCATCTCTTATGTAGTCGGTGTCTCCGAAAAACTCAGGAGAGTTTTCTCCAAGCAGGACATCCCAGTGTAGTTCAGACCCAGCAACACACTCAGATAAAAGCTTGTCCGTCCTAAAAAAAAATCTCCTAAACACAAACTTAACAACGTGGTGTATGCTGTACAGTGCAGCGAGGAATGCCCAGAGCTCTACATAGGAGAGACCAAACAGCCACTTCACAAACGCGTGACACAACATAGAAGAGCCACCTCCACAGGACAAGACTCAGCAGTTCATCTGCATCTGAAGGACAAAGGTCACTCTTTTGAGGATGCAGTGT